TGTGCGGCAAACACCGGGAGGCCAAACAACTTGAGAAACAAATGGGTGAGTTGGGTTACAACATAGATGAGAGTAATTTCAAATTCCAGAATTGGGAGGGTGTAGTTCTGCAGTCGAAAGGTGAAATGCACAATCCCAAGCGGGTCTTTAACATGCACCGGCCAAGAATCTGATTTGTTCCACAAGCCAAGCGAATTAACGTGAGGCGGAAACACCGTGCATATGGTCACCGGATCGGTCATCCTCTTCTGCATTCCTGTTTGATCCGGTGTCACCGCACTAAAGATCCAGAAGGCAGTCACTACAACAATAAGAAGTAGAGGCGATGACATTCTGGCTCAATCAAAACTGAGAATATCCGAAAGTATCACCAGATCAAGAGCTTATCGTCGAGAGAAAAATTGTATTTGGTTAATACATGGTTGCTCAGAGAAACACGAAAGAGGAGGACAATCCAAAATTATTATTTTTATATATCGTAATTATAGACGCAACATTAGTAATTAAGCAGCTGGTTTTAAACGAGTGGTTGTTTTTGCTTCAGCATATAGGAAGAAAACTGCCTTTAAACAAGATTTCAACAGAGTAACATTCACAACCAGTTGCTTTTGACCGTCTGCATGCAATTTATTTTATAGAAGTGGTTAAGTGGTTGTTTTCACCACGAAAACAATTTTCGGTTCCTTGTGTGACTAGTTTCTTCTCATCTAAAAGTTCTCATAACAAAATCTGAGAGTTTACTCAGGCAAAGCCTATCTGTATATTATTAAGTGGAAGAAATTTATTAGGTCAATCTGATAGATAAAATCCTCGTTAAGATTATTTGTTCTACAAGTATAAGGTATGAGTAATGCTATGTAGACTAAATTTGTAAACTAAATGACGTATTACTAATAAGAAATAAACACGTTAATCAACGTTTAAGTAATAACTTAATTATTATTCCCTCATTTAGTTTACAAACTTCTTTGTCAATTTCTATGTCATTTAGTAATTAATTATAAAGGAGCAGATCCGTGATACCAATTTTTTTACATAGCTTTTTACACAAGTTTTTGTGGGATGCATTCCTATGTGTTTTAGGCCTGAACCATCTATCTTTTAGAAGATCATTTATAGATCATTACTACAATTAGACAATCCAAAACCATTACGATATTCACTTGGAGTGAAGAAAATGAACGAATACAGTTTTGGTAGACAAAATTTTTGAGGAAAGACCTAAAAGATAGACGATTTGAATGCTTGAAATACATTTACAAAATGGACTCCGTAAAAACTTGTGTAAAAAATATAGTACCACGAATTGGCTCCCATTATAAACTATATCTTAATCTAATAAATGAAAAACTTTAATAATTACAAGCGAATCCATCTTGCAATATGTGGACAAAATTACCCTTAATTTAACCTAACAACGGAGTATTTGCAATGGTATTCTTTAAGTGCTCGATAAAAATGTCTCAAAGAGGCTAACATTGACAGTTGATTGTATTTCCCCATCCCACAAAGAAAAGTTCAACAAAAAACAAAAAACTTAAGTTCCGGCCTCCAATTAACTAAAATATTAAATTTAAATTTTACTAATTTAAATATTTCAAAATAAGTGAACAAACAAGAAAAAATATATTCTTAAAAATCCGATGTGATATAACACATAACACTATATTTGGATAGAGAAATATTACAAATGAATTTTAAAATGATGAAAATTGAAATGACGGAATCTTATTTTCTAAAATTTGTTAATTTTTTTGTTTGGTTAACCAAAATAACAATGAAATTGAATATGAATTTTGTTATTTTTAAACTCCTAATTATAAAAATTAGGAAATGACACTTATTTATATGGAATTTAAACTTGAGAATTAAAAGTTTTAATTTTTTTTTTTCAGGTGAAAATTTTAAATTTTTATATTTATGACTTTAAATAATAAATTATTACAAATTAATTTATAAATTTTGATTTTTATTCAAATTTTAAATTTTTTTGTCGCATTCAAACATACTGTAAAAATAAATGTGACATCCAGCTCAGCTGAGCTGAACCACCGCAAGAAATCCCAATGATTTGACCTCGAATCGCAAACCCCGCACGTGGACGGTGGTCATGGATCCAAATTATTTGCCGCGAAATAGTGAACTACACTCTCGCGTTCCTCTCACTGTGCCCTCGAGGCCATAAAAGCAGAAACAAGAAAGCAGAAAAAAGCATAAAGCAGAAAGCAGAAAGTAGAAAAAAGCAGCAAGCAGAAATTACAAAAATGGCGACTCTCTCACTCTCCTCCGCGTCACCACGGAAATTCTCTCTCTGCGGCGTCAGCAGCAGCAGCACTACCACCTCCAAATTCTCCGCCTTTCAACCGAGGCCGGCCAAGCTCTCTTGTCTTCTTCTGAGATCACTCCACCGCAACCCTCTCAGGTAATTTCGTAATTTCACTCCCAAAGCTTCAGATATCAATCGAGCTCTGCATGCAACGCCGTCGTTTCTGGTTTTTGGGCAGAGTTTCGATTGGCGGAAAGAAGGAATTCATGGCGATGAAGGGTAAGAGGAGGGGATCGGGTGCGATGTGTTACGCTGCACCTCTTTCTGTCAACAGCCTCCAGTGGATCTCCACCATTTCTTCTGCGTAATTCTTTTTCTCTCTCGCTTTCAGTTTTTTACATATGAGCCCTCGAGAGCATTGAACTTTAGTAAAAACACTTCAAGCTCAGTACTTTAGAAAGAAAAATCCAGCTGACTTTGTAATGGGAGAAGGGTGCCAAAGAAATTTCAAAACGAAGAATCAATTAGGGCATGACAATTGATAAAGGATAGGGTTTTTTTGTAATTTTTTTAAATCCAATTGAGCTCTTGAAGTGTTTTGTATAAAAATAATAGTTGTGGGGTGTTTTTCTAATTTATCTTTCGAGGTTCCACGAAAGTTTTCTACCTTCGGTATTGAGATGTTGGGCGAGATGGATTAATGCTTTAATGGGTGTTCAAATTTCTCACATTTCCAGGGTTCTGTTGCTTGTAAAAGGGACTGCTGTTCAGAAATCATTTCTTGTTCCCTTATTTCTCCTACAAGCGCCAGCTACCGTCGTCTCATGGATTAAGTAAGCATTTCAAGAAATTGGGTTATTTTCTTCGTTCTGTTGTGTTTTATTGCTAGAAAGTTTTTTTCTTGGTATGCTGTGGAGAACGTTTGCGGTCTGAGGTTAAATGTATAAGTTGGCTGACATTCATGAGTTTGGCTTGCAGGGGTGAATATGGTATCTGGGCTGCCTTCCTAGCCCTTCTTGTTCGTCTCTTCTTCTTTATTCCTGGTAGGTTCTCTTCTAAACTCTGATTCCTTGGTTTGAGTGTAGGCTTGACAATGCTAAACGGGGAGTGTTTTCTGGTTTTCTCACTCAAAGCTAACTTGGCAGAGTTATCTGGGTTTCTCAAATAATAGTTTCTAATGTCGGCATGGTTAGTTAACTATATTGGTTTTATTCCATTAGGGGGAACAACCCATTTATTGTAATATACCCGTCTTTGCTCACTCTTATAGTATTTGAAGATGCCCTTATTTTCAGTATACTAACTTTTTAAGTTTTTGAACCATGTCCGGATCGTAGGTAGAAAAGAAAATGTGAAATTAAATGTGTTGATTTGCTACTTTGCTCTTCTCTAAATCTTGGTTCTGTTTTCTACTAATTTGAATTGAGGTGTGTTAATATAGTGGTGTGGTTGCCATTTCAATTATTCTCTGTCAATTAATATTATACATGGTCTTATTTTGTTCTTTCTTAGCGGAACTTGAGTTGCCATTGACAGCATTCCTCCTGGTGATTGTGGCTCCTTACCAAGTTCTGAAACTAAGGTGCGCAAATGCATTGTTTAAGACCAACTTTGCCCAGTTATCTGTGATTTTCTCGGTTCTAATGTTTCAATTTGTTCCGTTGGCAGGGGAAGACAAGAAGGTGCTATTATTTCACTGGTCATTGCAGCATATTTGGCTTTCCAGCACTTTTCACGAATAGGAAGCTTGGAGAGATCATTTGACCGAGGTTCAATTATTGCTAGCTTAGCCATCATTTCTATCACTGCTTTGTCATGCTTGTTCCTGTTCTGAGTTTATTGTAAATAAGGAGTAAGTCTGATAACAGTTATTAGTTACCTTTCATTTCCCTGTTATATTGTGTAATATGTCATCTGATTTTGTACTCTTGAATAATTCGTATTTACAGTAATAAAAGAGATTATCAGCTCAGAGGCAGGTTGTTGCCCTTCATTTTCAATCATAATTTTATGATGCCAAGACACATCAAATGGTTTACTTTAGACCATTGAGATACATTAACATGAATCAATCTTTGTGCATTGTGCATTCTGTTTCGTGTTTGATAAGTTAGCAATCAAGTTGATCTTCCCATGCGCACAAGGATTGTCCTCTTTACTTGTTCTCATATTTTTCTTTTGGAGTGTCTTAACCCCTCGTTGCTGGAGGTGGTTTTTGGAAAGCTTTACTTTTAAGTAAAGTGATGCCATTTTTGGGATGCGGAGATTGCACCATGCATTGGCATGGTGCAGAACTGGGTCGGTTACCTAGCCATTTGAATGCACGAAATTCTGTTAATTGTTTTGATGATTATATTGGAATCTATAATGAAAGTAAATAATATGAATTAAGGAAAATTTTATTGTTGAAATAACTTGTATCAACATTTTGTAAGTAGCAAATTAAGAAGAGCTTAGGTATCTGCTGTCTTCATCTTCCAAGAGAGTAGGGAACAAGTTATGTAAATTTCTTATGTGTTTGTTGATAAGAGGAAATATACTGTATATTTGAATACATCGAGTCTTGTGTAGTATCTAATGTGGTATGACAGATAAGACATAGGTCATTCCATTGGTTACATCCATTCTTTCTAGTTAGGTCATTAATTTTCATTACTAGACCTTTTACTGTCATATATCTATCTATGTGTTACTCATTGGTATCGTAGATATAATGCACTAGCTAATATCATGTAGTAAGCATTTTATCGGTTTATAAATAAAAGAAGTGCTGAAGCCTGGTGACCTTAACTAATAATTTATTACTAAAACTGCAGATAAAGGACCTATATGTCTACACGTAAAAGAACCTAAAAAATATCTATGCTTTTTCTGTCCTTAGGCTTAATGGTCAACTATTGGGTGTACATAGATGAAGTATGGCAGTAATTTAAATGGTGAGGAACAAGGCCTAGCGATAACATAGTAGCTCATTTTGATCTCAGGGCCTCATTGAACTTTATGTAGGATGCTGGCAAATGAATGGTTTGCCATCTAACTGCAGATAGAATAGCTGAAACTTAGTTTCCCTTTAGACATAATTTTCTGCGAGAAATGACCCCAAGATCCCAGTCATGATGAATAGCAGTAGCATGCAAGATGAGATAGAGGTTGCTGAGTTCGGGGACTCTGTTGGCGAGTCACCATAAATTGTTGATCCTCCACCTGGTGTAGCAATGCTTGGGGTGTATGGGGATGTTGTTGTTGGTGGTGTTGTTGACATCGTTGGCGTTGGTGGTGTCATTGTTGTTGGTGGTGAGTTCATGCTGAATTTGCAAAGTAGAATTAGATTTATGTTTTACTTCATGTATTTATAAATGAAGTTGGAGGTAGGGCTATGAAAGGTTACCTGGTTGATGATGAGGAAGATGCAAAGTGACAGCTACCAGTACCTGCAATTTGGCAGAGCAAGGAGTTCAGTATTTATTCAAGCGTACATATAACAAGAACAGCAAGGTCAGGAATTGAATTTGTTAAGTGGCGGATCTGAAACTTTTGGAAAAAGAGCTAGGGAGCTATAGATATAAGTTATATCGAGTTATACGTTCAGAAAGCTATTTGCAATTGAAATAAATGGAGAGTTCGTTCAGTGTTTCTTTCTTTGATAAGTGAAGCTTTTAGGGCAAGTGATAAGCTTGATAAAAACCAACTTCTAGAAATGTCTTACTTGGGTCAGTGTTGGTGAGTTGAGCTGTTCCACCGAAATTGCAGCTGGTAGGAGATGGGTTCTTCTGATAGTAGTCGTTGAAGGCGTAGGAAGCATGATCGTGAAGAGTGTTTGGGTTATAACAGCTTCCACCTTGATTAATTGCTGAACAGTCTGCACCTCCATAGCCACAAGCATAATCAAGAGCTACCTGCAAGGCGTTTTGTGAAGCAGATTGGCTTGCAATACACCAAGTACCACCTGATGATGGAGTTGTGGTGGGAGTTGTTGGGGATGATGGAGTTGTGGTGGGAGTTGTCGGGCTCAGGGGCGGGGTCGGGGGTATTGTGGTTGGAGTTGTGGTTGGTGATGGTGGGGATATTGTCGGGTTCGCAAATGGTGTGGGAATTGTTGGGCTCAGGGGCGGGGTCGGTGGTATTGTGGTAGGAGTTGTGGTTGGTGATGGTGGGGATATTGTCGGGTTCGCAAATGGTGTGGGAGTTGTTGTTGTTGGACTTGGATTGACAACGGGAATATCATCGAGCTGGGTAGTATACACCGAAGATGAGGAAACTATATGTTTTTCTTGATTCACTTGCGTTTTGCTTTGGTGGGTTGCTTCCAAAGGAGGATTCTTTGGAACACTTGAACCTGAAGATATGAAAAGCATGGTAAGTTATTATTCTTTCATTGAAATAAATGGAAAATTTGAGTTTAATGGATAAATTTGAAAGAGTTATCAGATTTGAGTTAAAAGAGCATGCTAAATGCTTCTTGTGCGTGCATATAATCTTGTTTCCTATGCTTGGATCATATGCAAAGGAGGTGGATTAGGGAACTTCATGTAGTTTTGACTCGAAATTGTCGCAAGGCGTAGAGGTGTGCTTGATGATCACATACTTTCGAAACAAGAAGAGACTGGTTTCCGAATCCAATGCTCGTTAGAAATAGTAATCTTAATCTCTTCATAAATCCATAGACATGAAGGAAACTTGATGATCATGTCAGGAAATGAGCAAAGCCGGGTTGGTGGTTGGAAGGTTCGTGTTGAAACACACGGAAGAGAAACAGAACCAGGCAGAAATGGAGACTAACGAAATTCAAAATTACCTGAACTAAAGAAAAGAAACAAGAAAAACAACGCAGAATGCCGAAGCGAGCCAACTCCCATCGCTCCTAGTTACTTCTCTTCTTCTACACTTCTCTGTTTGCAGGTTGTTGTGATTGCAGGTAATCTCCCGGGCTCGAAACAATGATGCAGAAGCCAAGATATACTACACAAGAGGAACAGCAATGATGGAGGTGTTGCGAAAAAGAAGAGTTTACGTCCTTTCTGTGCATATATATTTTATATATATGTGGAGGAAGAATCATGGCTTTCTTGGATCGAAGAGAGACGAAAAGAGAGAAGAGAGGGAGAATATAGAAAACTTGAGAGAGGAGGAATTGGGTAAGTTGGATATTGCAAGCAAGAGATGGTTGCCAAAAAAAGAAAAGTGGGATGAAATTGGGAAAGGCAAAAAAGAATGATCTCCTGGGATTTAAATCTCATGTTTTGGTTTCTAAATAAATCGGGAATCTATGCTGCAGAATCTTGTTTTTTGTTTTTTTACCTTTTTGTTTTGGATCACCGGAGCTCGGGGATCAATGGATCCAGGTCATTGAAATTTGATCTAACGGCTATAAGTATTGTAAGTTTTAGACGAGCTCCCTGTTTGTAGCCGTTGGATCAAATTTAATGGCCTGAATCCATTAATCCCCGGGCTCTAGTTGCACAGATCCGGAGAGGATCTGTGTTCTTTGTTTTGTGCTCTTCTTTCTACTGTTTTTGGGGGTACTTTTGTTTAGTTTGGTTTAGGTGGTTGTGTTTTTATTTTTCATGGCACTGAATCAAAAAGTTAAAGTTGTCGAGGGAGGAGTTTATGAGTGGCATATGGTGGTCTGTAATCGAGAATGTTGTCTCCTCCTGGTCGATTTTCTTACTTCATTTAAAATTTGATAATCCTTAGCTTTCTCAAAGAACAAGTTGCGCTTGTTTGTTCTTGGCAAAAGGAGAAACTTGGCCTTAATATCCACCCTTGTGAACTCAATGAACGATATTTTACTTCTCGAGTGTGTAGGAGGAGCACATATGCTCTAGTCAGTGTACCTACTGACTACGCTTATGTATTTATTGAGCACGGTTAATCATGCTTGTTATTTATTAGGCACGTACAATCCTTTTAGACATCCCATCATGCCCATTGATGCGTCTTTTTCTTGTTATGTATCAAACTCTCGAACCTACGAAAGGACACATTTCGGTTTCTTGCTCTTTCTTTTGAGGTTAGTGTGGAGTTTCGGGACAATTAAGGTTCATCTCCTTAAAACTCCAACTAAAAAGTAATGCAAACCCTCCATATTTGGAATCGGACTTACTTTGAATTCCTTGAAATAGCAATGATAAAAGCTAAGCAATGGCTTGGTCACAAATTACAGCAAAATTTGGGTATGGAATTAAAAAAGCACAAAAATATATACAAACCCACATTGCAGGGGAAAGCGATATTATATCCTAACCTAAACTACGAGAAGAGGAATTTGAACTTGGGGTGACAAGGGAGGAGCGTAATGCTCTAGTCAAATTGCCTATTAACAATTAATGCAGGAATTGATCATAACAAGACAAATTGCCTATTAACAATTAATGCAAGAATTGATCATAGCAAGAGTCATATTTTGGCCTTTTGATTAATTGCGGCGCTTCAATAATTTGCAAAGAAGGGCAGCAGTCATTACACCACCCGCAGACATCATGAGCACGGAAGGCCAACGCATCCTTGAACGCTGCGATGGCATTGGGTTTGAGGGTTCTACTGGCTCATCCGCTTCCTCAAATGGCATTGAGTTTGAGGGCTGTGATGGCTGGCTCGCTTCCACAACCAGTGCCCGGTCTGAGGATTCTGGTGACTCCCTCACTTCTCGAATTAGGCTTGGGTGTGACAGTTCAGATGGCTCGCCAGTTTCCACGGTTGGCATTGGGAAACGGCAAATGGGACACAAGTGACTGATCCCTAGCCATCGTACAATGCAATCATGATGATAAAGGTGTAAGCAGGGCAGGCGAGTAAGTACCTTCACAAGAGTACTAGTTGAAGCAGCTTCATCATGGTCAAAACCCAAAAAACCCTTCATGCAGATAACACATGACGACGCCGTATGATCTTTATCTTCCAAACAAAGATCAAGTGGTTTTAGTTTCTCCAAACCCTCAATGGATGATTTAGTAGCAGGAGTAAACTTGAGCCTATGTAATTCCAGACTCGCATCCGTTATCATGACCACGTGACGAATAGGCCTCGAGGAGACGGCGAATCCAACCTGCAGAGATATCTTCTTAATGTATTCCGGCTGCAGCCTTTCCGGGACACCCAACATTTCCCCCAGACATCCAGCCAGTTGTTGTTTTACATACACACTCTTTTCTTCATCAGATAACAGCTTGAAACGAGAAAGAGAAACCCTAATTGGTTTTTCACCTACGAAGTATTCTTCTCCAAAAGTAACGTCTCTTGGAAAAGAAGCAATTGCATCTTCTGAATCAACCAAACCAATCACCTTGAAGAACTGCAATTTGATACGAACCGCGTCGTTATTGTCATTGCTTTCCAGTACCTCCGCTAGGGATTCGCTTGTACTCTCCGGTTCCCGTGACCGGACTTGTATGTAGCGCCTAGATATCTGAGACATAGTATTATAGGCACCAACTATTAAATTAACATAGAGAATTTAACGAAGATATATAGTATGGAATTATGGATGGGTAATGCTAGGGAGACTCAATTTAGAGGAATTTAATATAATTTTTCAAACCTAGCTTGATTTACAAGAAAAGAGGAATTTATTTATTATTTTTGAGAAAAGTATGGTGGAAGAATTTGATTACACGATAAGAACTTGTACTTCTCTCCCAAATCGATATAGAAATTAGTTTAGTGTCAATAAGAACTTGTATTTCTTTCCAAGGCAGTCATGCAGTTTTTGTCTTCAACTCTTTACCTTGTTTTGCACGAATAATTAACCCTAGCTAATACTGTTGACCTAAAAAAAAAAAAACCTAATATTATTTTTCTTGTATATGATTCATCACATGCAGCTAAATGTTGTCCTTCATATCATGTATTTGAATCATGCTGTCCTATTACGTTGCTGTCATTCAAATAAAATCCTAAGGATTTATGATGCAGAAGCAATCTCTTGTTAATTCAGCGGCAGATAATATGCAGAAGAAATCTCACTCTGCAAGTTCGTAAGGGAGGAATTCATAACGACTTAAACACGATAGAAATTAATTTTGGCTATATACATGAATAAATTTCCGATCATGACAATATATAACTTAAGGTTGATTCGTAGGTTCAAAATCTTGGAGGAAAATAAAACAGCCAAATACATGATCAATACAATACAAGACATGCTTTAGCTAGTAATGTTCATATTTTGCATCCCTTAACTTTGCTGCAACTGCCTCTAACTTTAATTTTTCAATAATCTGCAGAGAATCACAGAAGTTAATAATATACCACCTGCAGACATCATGAACAGCTTATGCAAATTCATCTCTGAGGGTTCTGGCTGAGGGTTCTGGCGGCTTGGCCGCTTCCTCAATTGGCATTGGCATGAGATACCGGCACAGTGGGCACCACAATTGCTTGGTACGCAGCCACCCTGCAATGCATTTTATATGATAAAGGTGCAGGCATGGCAAACGAGTAATTATCTTTTTCTTGGACGCAGAAAAAGTCCTCCATACAAATAGCACACGACGATCCCACTGCCTCCGGACGGACCTTGCATGCAGAATTTAACTCCAGAAAAAAATCTTTGCCGCGCCTTTTTCCATGGATTCCATCATAACCCTTTCCATGATATTCTACTTATGCACACTTGTGTATCTGCCATTTTTCAGGGAATGAGCTCAAGCGAACGGTGTTGATAAAGCTGTCATTCACGATTTTCCCAAGCCTCCTCCACAATCCCCTCATTGGTCACCGCCGCCGCTGCTTCGGGCACCAAAAACTCCGCCGCTTCACCTCCTTCTTCCTCGCGACAATACTCCGGCGACGGCGGAGAAGAAGACCCAATCGCTATGGAAGGCGACGGCGAAGAAAAACCGAGCGACAGGGCCCCACCCAGGGCACCAATTAGGGCTTTGTCGGCCCAACCGATCGCAATAAAAGTTTCCCGGCCCAACAAAAATAGAAGTATCTTTATCTTTTAAATACGCGGCGTCTTGAGTCTTGACCGTGGTGACAGTAGGACACGTGTGAAGGGGGCTGTTTGGGTGCACAGGTTTTGGATCCGATTCTCTTCCGAAGTTTAATCCAGTCCGGGGTAGGACAGAGACCGGTGGGCCAGGGCCAGCTGTAGAGTAGGTGTCCCAGTGTCCAATCCATCATGTGCCAAGTGTTGGATTGTCAAACATGGCTTGGACTGAACTCGTTTGAGAAGATACTAGATTTTCTTTTCTTTCGTTAGTTTGGACGGAATGGATTGAGATTGAGATTAAGATGGATTAGTTTGGTGCGTACGTATGAAAGCTTTAGGATAAGCACCAATCACTCCTTACACTCGCTTTAAAGGCGCGTCCATCCCTCTCATAAGATTTGAATAATGTATGAGTTATATGATTTGTATAATGCACATACTATACATTAGTCTTGTTTAATTTATGATGGATTATTATTATTAATTTTTTTGAATACTAATTAGGATTCGTACGAAGAAATTACGATTTCTTCGAACAATCAAGGAAAAAAATTAGACATCATGTCACGTGACTTGTGAAAGATGTAAATTTGTGATAGGAGAAATCTTAAAAATCTACTCAATCGTCAGTTGTATAATCATAAATTTGTTTTTTTTATTATGTAATTAATCATCTCATTTCAAAATTAATTATGTCATGAGATATGAATTGGTTGAATTGAGAGCTAATTTGAGGCTGCTGTGCTTGTTTGTTTTTGTTTTTTTTTTTTTTTTTTTAACTGTTCCTGCAATATAAATTTGGTTGAAGAAAATATATTTCAAATCGAGTTGCAAAAAATTATATTGTTGATAAAAACACTCTATTACGGATTACACACATTTTTACCAAGGTTCTAAAAAACGCTAGGCGCTAGTCGGGTGGCAAGTAAGGTCTAGCGCCTAGGCAGATTTATGTAAATTTATTATATATCTTCTAAATAAGTGCTTATTTACACACACACACAAAAATACTTGCATGGATAATAAAAGAATAATAAAATACAAAACTAATACACAAAGTACATCCATCCAATAAGTTCAATATTTAAAAAATGGTAAGCATATAATCATAATGAGGAGTATTGTTGGATGATGGACTAAATTATTCTTGTTTATGATCCTTGCATTAGATTGGGTATAGACTAAATAACTCATATGGCATTTAGATAAAATATTATATATATATATATATATATAAACTTTTGAAAGATAAAAGCCCACGTAGTGGGCTGTTGTGTAATTAAAATCCATTGATTGTGCACTCCACCTTTCACATTACCTAAGGTGAACCTGCACTCCACCTCTCACATTACCCGAGCCCCAATAAAGTAAAACACCTTCCCAATTTCCCATTAAAACAATTCGATTCTTCATTTTCTCTTCCTTATCTCTTTCAGAAGAATCAGAACCACAAAGTGAAACAGAAACTGCAGCTCGCACGATCGCACCGCCACGACTGAAATGTCAAATACCCTCTCTCTCTCTCTTTGGGCGTACTCTCTCTTCCTTCATCTGCTCACAGACGGCAAAGCTACAGAAGCTTGTCGAGATCGGAAGTGCAGACTCATAGTTGCTATGCGTTTGGGATTTGCAACCGCCTAGAGTGGCACCTAGCGCCGCCTAGACTGCCTAGTGAGCGCCTAGACTAAATCCTCTCCGCCTTAAGTGAACGATTTGGTAGAAATCAGATTGGAGCTCCGTCATC